TTTCACCTTAAGGTGAAAGAAACAATTCCATATATGTAAATTTATTTGCACAACAGAGCAAGGCAACTAACTTAACCATTCAACTATGTGAATCAGGAATGCAACTTTTATAAAATTTAACATGTAGTTTACAAAATAAGATGGGGGGAGGAGAAGAAACTGAAGAAATATGGTTTATGTTAGTATTTATAGCTTGCCAGTATAGTTAGAAGAATTGCTTTCCAATGTGCTTAGCATGACAGCTGGACCTTTCAGTAGCTTATGTATGCATTAGTACCATAAATTCAGAAGTACTATAAATGGAATAGACTATCCAGTTCTCATAATTACGTAGCACAAAAAAATGCCACAATATGTATGCTAGATCAGCTCCAGAGTTACATTTTAAAAAAAGCTTTCATTTAAATTCAAAGGTGAGATGCCTGCACCTGTAGAGAAAAGAAAATCTCCAAGACTAACATGATGAAGGCTAAAAACTGGAAGAAAAAAGTTAACGGTTTAAACAGTAGTGGAATTGACACAATTAACAACATACACTGTATGAAGAGGTGCTTAGAATTTGAGAACACCCTAGCTAATTAAGAATGACTACGAAAGCACAACTTCTTGGGGTTTTGTTTTGGTTTAGTTTTGGTTTTGGTTTTTGTTCAAAGACATGCTAAGTTTATATTGGAATTCTGTCCAATCTAGATAAAATATCTATTGTGTCTTCAAAAACTGTGTTTTGGACGGGGACTGTGGTGTTTTCTAAGCTGAGAGATAGGAGCACTCCAAAACTAAAGTACACTGTGCTCCCAAAAGGGTGAATCCAGTCTTCCACCTTGATAACTCATTACTACCCCATTATTTTGAGTATGACAGAAATGTCAAGGAGTGGAAGCTTTAGCACTAAGCAGGCACAAACAAACAAAAAGTAGCTGAATACAAATTAATAAAGTACACAGAACAATGTAAAAACCCTAGGATATCTATCAGAAAAGTCCTCAGAAAACTAAATGTTCTTGTAGTGTGCAGCTTAGTAAGCATCCTTGTATCCAAAACAGGTTCACATCAGTCAAAGAATAGATATTTTGCTATTGGCTGTGTGCCGTAAAATGGCAAGCTGCAGTAAGACTAATAAAAAATCAGTAATGACATCAATCAAATGTCAGCTAACATGGAAATAAAGACTACAGGCAGAAGTTCATAGCAGGAATAAAAATTACTGTCCCTGAGCTGCTTATTGCCACTGTGCCAGTAGAGGTCACAATGTCCTAAAGCGGAATGCAAACTCTTCAGTTGCTTTGGTGCAGTTTGGCAGCTTGTCTTAATTTGCTGATGGCTTTATGATAAGCCATCAATCTTGACATCAACATGGCTGAGATGCACAAAGCTATTTTGCTCTCCTTGTTCTTCTGCTGCACCAGCAACATGCAAAATGCAGTCAAAATACAACTCCTTGGTGATTCCAGGCAGATCCTCCAGTAACCACCAAGCACTCAGGCCAAAGCTCAAAAACATAGATACTAGACACTCAGCTGTCTCTTGCACTTCAGGTGCCTAAAGCCATTTGATTTCAATGGGAAGTTCACAAACACCCCTGACAACCTGGTGTAAGGAAGCCCAGTTTGTCAACCAGAATCAAGGTTAATTGAGATTACAACAAATGATGACCCAATTTGCTACCACATTCTTATTAAATTAGAACTTGTTCAGTCTAATTCCTCAACACTATCTAATTAAAACTGAGCACTCTGAGCAACAATGATCTAAAGCTGAAGTACACCCATGCTTATGTCATATTAAAGTGATTCTGGCCATTAGGAGAGCTACCAGGTCCCCTCCTGTTTGCTTGCACAACTGTTTCTATATTCACATGATGAGCCAAATCAAGGAGTTGATTTAGATGAAAACTAATCTGACTAAAGATTATCAGCTTCAGCTAGATCATCTTGTCAATCTACCTCACTGCATAGTTACCTGAAGAATAGTACTGGAAGAAGTGGGGAGACTGAAAGCAAAGTCATCCCCTAAGAATGAGGCAAGGGGGAGAGAGAAAGTTGTCAGGATTATCAAAATTACAGTTAGCACTTTAGAATGTAAAACCAAACTATGACAGGTAACAACAGAAAACCAATTAAAATGAAGCCACATCCCCATGAAAATGAGATCTCAAACACAGTTAATGTGTGAATGTACTCACCATGTGCTAAGAACATTTACAGATGAAGATTTATGTCACACATAAGAAAAGACAATGAACAGAAACTTACAAAATCTATGACAAAACATCCTGGCTAGATACAAACAGACAAAACATTGTGGAAGCACAAAATAATCATTACTTGGATACCAACGTATACTAGATGAGCAAAACAAGTAACTTTTTACAGTATCAAGTAGCAAAAGAGCATGCCAAAAAACCTCCACAGTATTACTGACAAATGAGAAGTAACACAAGAGGTGAAAAAAGAACTAACTGATGAAACTAAGTGGAAAATTGATACATTCTCATATACACAGTATGGCAAGAATCAGGGGAAAATATCAAAACCTAATCAAACAAACAAAAAGCATACACTCAAAACAAACAACCCCACACACACAGACACACACTATTCAGGCTCCAAACGCCTCAGACAATAAAAGGCTGCACTATTCTCTCCCACTAGGATGTCAATGTAGTTGTTTTCAGAATACAATAGTAAAGGCCTTCAAAAGCATAATTCTAGAAAAGGCAAGTATCTACTAAATATGCAATAACTCTGCATATATGTATCCAAGTTCAGTGGTGGGGAGGAGAAATTTGGGACAGGTTTTTGAGGGACAGGAGAATGCAAAAAGAGAAGAAACTGGTTGAGCTTTTTTGTTCAGAAGCAAAGCCATTGAAATATGAGGACTGCTCATGGAGTTTCATAGAAAATAATTAGTAAATATTAGCTTTGCTGTATCATACTAAGGTTTCACTCAGTCAGCTCCACTGTACTGTACAAGCAACACTAAAGATATTCTCCTCAGTAAATTAAAAAATCGCCACCTTGCAGGTTAGGGTTACATAAACGACAATTTAAAAGACAATGTGACACACCATTAAGTATTTTGATACTATTTGTAGATACTTAAGGTGTGAGATTTGCTTTCGATTATTGTTCTTGCATGTTATTTAATTATATGGAGGTAGCATCATCCTTTCCAAATGGAGCACAACACTGACATAATTAACAATTCATTTCAATCTCACGAAAGCAATTTTTATAGTGGGATATTTACAAAAGGCAGTGTGTTTCTGGATAACATCAAGGAAAGTCCCGCATCAGGGAGAACCTAAAGGACAGCAAATAATTCATCTGTGTGAGGAAATGAGGCATGAAAAGACCAGATTGACATTACTGTCAAACAGGAACAGGCAGAGTTATTTTATTATAATAGATATTAAAATGCAAGACAAGCCAAAAATACATATCTTCGTACATCACATAAAGGATCCTGCCTGTGTTACAGGCAGCTTTTCAACTCTGCTTATACTTCACTCAGTACAGGGAAAGCAATATGCTACTGAACAGCAAAAGCTTCCACTGGATTATTGTATTTACATCCCTGGACAATCACAGCAAGTGATTGACTTATGAAAATCTTATCAAGCAGAGTTGAAGCTACCTTTCAGCAATGAGGACAATGCAGAGGCAAAAGTGAAAATTTCACCACAAGGAAAATAATGTGTCCAGAACAGATGCTCAAGTAGAGAGAAAGCAGATGAAGATGTCAGGAGAAGATCAAGGGCCAGGTTGAAAAGCAATTAGTAAGATAAAGATATGAAATGGGACCTTTTACCCTTTAACAAGGCAGTGATCCAGTAAAGACATATTGCTGGAAACATGATCTTTAATTAGGAAAACAGCAAAGAAATTTGCTGCCACACAGGGGAAGTCAACTATGCTGATTGCTGGGAGGTAAAAACCCAAACCAATATTCATCCTTTGCAATTATATGCACCACACAAAAACTATTTCCTCTGCATTTCCCTGGAGTCAACAGACTGCTTTCATTACAGGAACTATTAGCAAACCAGGTTTTAAAACCCACTATTTAATAAAGTTCAATATTTAAAAAAACAAGGAAACAACAACAAAAAAGAAAACACCCCTCCAAAACTCAGTATCAAAAGTAGCATCAATGCTTACCTAAAAATAATGCCACGTGCCCCCAAAAGACAAAATTAAGGTACTGGGAATATCTGCTCTGAACACTGATGACAGGCATAAACTAGAAGAGCATTTAAACCAGCAGAATAAGCAAACTGAGAGGGAGCTGCAGCTGGTTCTCCAATTACTAGATATTGTTTAAAAATGCATATTCAACTCAAAATCCCTCAGAACATTTGTACTCTCAAAGATGACTTACATAGTAGTTGAAAGATCTTTAAACTGTCAGATGTAAGTTGTTCAAGTAGCTGCAAATAAATACTTCAAGGAACAAGAAGGAAGACAAAAAATGACAAACCAAAACTCAGGGAAGTATTAACGTAGTATCTTCTACAGTATTTCCTAAGGACTATAAAAGTAATCTCTCAAGTTTTCTCTTCTGAAAGCCCAGACATACACAGTATGCTCAAATAGCCCTGTTATCAGCCTGTGGTAACTGTTCAGGAGTGAATATTCTCTTACAGTGAATACAAAATCACTGAATGATTGGTGTTATTAATGTTAACACACAGGGAATCTTGCAAAATCAGCTGCAGGCGAAAAGAAGACGAAGTATAACTCAATGTTGGTGAGGGCCATATCAGAAACTCAGAAATGTTTATACATGTACACAGTTATCCTATTCTATGCATTTAAAAAAAAAAAAGAATAAGAATACAGTATCTATTTTTATCTTGCCTATACGTTTTACATAGCAAAAAGTAAAAAAGAGCTGCTACTGAAAGACAGAAAATAAAATGAGTTAAGAGGAAAGCACTAAAAAAGCTGTATGTAAGCATGATGGCCAGCAGTGTTTCACAGTAATATTTTAAGAAATACCTGAGTAGATAAACAGCCCTTTCAATATCACTGAGTTCTTCATCAACTGTCAATCTTTCTATTTCTTCTGGTGTCTGTCAAGCATGAAATAGAGATTATGAGTTTACAGTGCCTTACTATTTCATCATTTTAATCTTCTTAAAACAACCCCTTCTTCCCAGCATATCCAGGGACGGTTCCATGAGTAATTTGAATTTAATCCCTTAAATCTCTAGGCAATATTTCAAATTCTATCAAATAAATCTTTCACCAGGAAAAGCTGGAATGTAATACAAGTACAGTTCCATGTCAGACACTATCACTACTAATCACTTAAAGTACAAACAAGTCACATATAGATTAATCTAAAGACCTAAGTATATTTTTCTCTTAATATTCTTATACTGACAATATTAAGCCCCTGCTATATAGAATTCAAGACTGTTTATTCCAAAATGACTGAAAACAGTTTTTAGTATACTGATGCTGTAAAAAATAAACTGCCTATTCAGTTAGCCATCCATAAATAAATCAGGCACAATTTCAAATGGATTTTAAATCATCCTTGTATTTTGAAGTGTATACCTTCAGGCTCCTTCGAACTGGCCTCTCTATAATAGTTAGTTCCTGCAGGTCTTCTATGTATCCAAACAAATTGCTCTGACTAAAATCCATTTTGGAGAAGATTATTATTGGATGCATGTAGCAACTAAAGCCTTCGGCAAGCGACGCTTTCCCCGAGTCTCTCACATAGCACTGAAGGAAGCAGCCCAGGCACCGCGCAGCGCCTCTCCGAGCGCGCCCGCCGCTCGCCTCAGCGCATACACTGCGGCAGCGGCCGCCGCTCGCCCCCGCCGAGCCTCTGGACGGGAAACTTTCTCCTCTTGCCCTGGGCGGACAAGGATCGGAGCCGGCGCCGGAGCCCGGTGCAGCCGATAGTACCTCGGAGGAGGGGAGTTTGGAGACGAGTTTCCCTTCTTTACTGGCCACTCCTGCCCGCGGGGGCGATGGGGTAGGCTGCACCGTGGGTGGGGATGGCGAAGCCTCTCCGCGCACCGCCCGGGCTGCAGGGCTCGCTCCTCACCGACGGGGCAGGGCAGGGCGCGGTGGCCGGGTGCCGCCTCTGCCCCCAAAGCCCGGAGGAGGGACGTCCCTGCGGTGCAGTGACGCTCCCCGCCCCCGTCCCGCGACGCAGCCCCCCAGCCGCTCTCCCCGGCAGCGCGGGCCGATGGCCGCGGCACCAGGGGCCGGAGCAGCCCCGCACGACGCCGGCCCCCGCGGTGGGGCCGCCTCCGCCCCGTCGAGCCGGTCGCCGGGGCAACGCGGCTCTAAGGCGGCCCCCGCGGGGCGAAACAGCTCCGCGCGCCGCAGTACACGAACGCGCGGAGGGCGCCGCCCCTTCAGCGGCCGCTACCCGCCCGTGGGGCCTTGCCCCCGGCCTCCGGCCGCAGCGGAGCCTGACCTGCCGGGCTCCCCCGCTGCAGCTGCAGCCTCCCTGGAGCTCCTCGTCCACTCCTGTAACGTCCCTTTCCAGCTGTGCCAGGACTCCCCACCGGTGTCCTGCCCCACTGTCACAGCCATTTCAAGGCAGAATTACACAGAAGAAAGCTATAAAAATGCTGACTTTGATGAAAAGTCCAAAGCAGGTTCCTGCCCCAGTGCTTTTATATATTAATCTAAAAAAAAAAAAAAAATCCACAAAAAAAAAAAAACCCACAGGAAAACATTTGACGTCCTTGGCAGTGTGTTGTGAATCTGCACCAAAGGCACCACTCTGTTTTTTCCTAACTTCTTCACCTTTAAAGTCCTTTCCCCACCTCAGGTTACACACCACTCATACAGCAGGACAGATTTAGCCATGGATATTCTCCCCAATCCATGAAGTTAGGTATTGTATGCTGTAGGATTACTGCTCTGGCTCACAAATACAGACTACATTGCAGGTACAAGGGAAAGTATTTACTTAAAAATAAAGATATACTGCTTTAACCCCCAATTGGTGTTCAAATAAGCATGAAAACACCATTTTTTTTATTATTTAGTAAGACCTTTTTTTTTGGGGAGGGGTTAGTGTTGCAAAATGGATGCAGGTCAAGAACCAACACACCAAGTTGCACATAGCATTTACTGAGCTAATTAATTCTCCAAGCCTCAAGACAGTGGCTTTTGCAGTAATTCAGAGTAGCCCTGTGTAGGACTTGAGGGTGTTGGTTGATGAGAAACTGAGTATGAGCCAGCAGTGTGAGCTCACAGTCCAGAAAGCCAACCGTAATCTGGGCTCCATCAAAAGGAGCATGACCAGAAGGTTGAAGGAGGTGGTCCTGCCCCTCTACTCTGCTCTCATGAGACCTCACCTGGAGTACTGTATACACTTCTGGTGTCCTCAACATAAAAAGGACATGGAACTGTTGGAACAAGTCCAGAGGAAGGCCACAAGGATGACCAGAGGACTGGAGCACCTCCTGTGTGAAGACAGGCTGAGAAAGTTGGGACTGTTCAGCCTGGAGAAGAGAAGGCTGCATACAGGGGTACCAGAGAGGGACTCTTCATCAGGGATGGTAGCGATAGGACAAGAGGGAATGGGTTCGAACTTAGAGTGAGGAAGTGCATGTTAGATATAAGGAGAAAGTTCTTTACTGTGAGGGTGGTGAGGCTCTGGAACAGACTGCCCAGAGGAGTGGTAAATGTTCCATCCCTGGCAGTGTTCAAGGCCAGGCTGGAAGAGTCTTGGGCAACATGGTCTAGGATGAAGCATGCCTGCCCATGGCAAGGGGGTTGGAACTAAATGATCTTAAGGTCCTTTCCAATCCTAACTATTTTGTGATTCTATTTTGTGATTCTATGATTGTATGGAACACAACTAAACAATCAACACTCACACCAGGACTTAAAAAGCCTGTAAATATTTCACAAAGGCTTGTTTGAGCAGCAGCAACATTTCATTATTACTGTAAAATGCCCATATGACCAATAAGTTTTGTTGATAAAGTATAAAAATAATTCTAAAAAATGTAAGGATTAGATAATACTATGCCATATATTGCCCAGAATTTTATTATCTTCTATTTTATAATTGGCAAGTACCTCAGCTTTTAGTTAGCAAAACAGTAAGTGTAGTCTTTGTATCTCTGTCTACCCATTAGGCCAAATCCTGTCTCAGTTAAACCAGTAAAACAGTAAAAAATAAAGCATCTCCATTAATTTCAAATGTACAACAGAATTACTAGCAGAAGAATCTAATCCAAAGTACATATAAATAATTAAACTGCTACGTAACAGACAACCAAAACATTTGGAACTTTTAAAGCATGATGACATATTAAAAAGAGAAATGCTATTTTGAACATCTCCTTTGCATTATCCTTTTAACCAGGAGACATCATCAGACAGCAAATATAATAATTATAACTGAACTAAGTCTTCTCAGAGTAGTTAGTTAACCAGCTTCACAAGAGAAAAAAAGAAAATACATATTTATAGAATGTTCTCTTCTCAAAATTCAGAATCCTGACATGCAGGCTTCTGCCAATGATTAAGTATGAGGGAAACATAGAATCATAGAATAAATCTCAATCACAGTTAGTTAGGAAAATCCTTTTGTAAGTTCTTTCACAGCCAATTTGTGGTCATTTCACCTTGCAAAAAGTTCTCATGAATCTTAAAGATCTTATGAGACTAAGAACACTTTTTTATGTGCCTTGAATTAGAAACTCATTGCAGTTTTCAAATCAGGTATTCCATAGCTTGGTTCTAAAGACTGAAAGTGAGTTTAGAGGTACAATTAAGCTGATATATTATATTATGTTTTACATAAATTTTGTAAGTCACTAAAGAAGAGAGGTTTTTACAAACATTTAAACAGCTCCCTTAATGCCTTTAATAACCTGTCTTTATAACTCAGTCTGGGAAAACACTGTGCATTCATGACTGTCATTGATTTTAAAATCAGTAGACCTGTCAAAGAGACCTACCTATATCCTGGAAATGTGAAAAGCAGAATAAAAAGAAAACTTTTCTTTTTTTTTTTTCCTGTAAATTGAATACTGGGCCAGAATAAATATCACAGCAGGAATTAGCTTGCCCGGGTTCAATATAAACATATCCCCTTCTGGTCCACACATTTGCCAGGGAAAAAAAAAACAAAAAAAAACAAAACCACAAAAAAACACCAACCCACAACAAAAGACTAAACCAACAAACCAAAAATCTGCATATTTTGTTCCAAACCCACATATATAAAAATTAATCTCCTCTGACAATAAATCTGTGGGCATATTCACTCCAAGTGGTCTGTCATTCTCATTTGTGGTGAAAGTCACGTATGACTTCCCCTCACTGCTACTGATTTCAGCTCCTCCCTTTTCCACTCTTCTCCTAAATAAAGCTCTGCTTGCAGCTTCATTCTAACCTTGGCATAGGTATCTTAATTGTAATAGACTGTAGAAATATTTCACACTGCTTTGTGAAAACCAGAATGAATTGGAACCTCCATTTTAACACAGGAGCTTGTGAAGTCTTGTGAAGCCAAAAACAGAGCTGATTTTAAATAATCCTCCCTTGATGGAGACAACTGCAGATCACCTGAGAAAATGGCACTTATACCTAGTGGAAGAAATAATGCTATTCATGCCTTCTAAAGCAATAAACTCTAAATGCAATATAGATGAAGATCAAAACCAAAAAGGGGCAAAAGGACCTGAAGGATTCTTCAGGTACCTGAAGTGTACCTGAAGGATTCTCCAGATACACTGACTGGGCTGACTTGACCAAGGACTCTTGGGTGAAGGGATTTGTCATGTGGCAGAGATGCACAGCTCTCCTTTGCTACTCAGCAGTTAGGTGTCTGCCTTCTCTGAAAAGGCTGTGATTCTTACTTTACCTATTACATGTTCTCAAAGAATTAAGCTGTAAATCAAATTGCTCACAGAGAAGTTGAAATTGTAAGAAGTGTCAGAATGTCTTAGAATGTCTGAATCAGCTTAAATATAAAGGGACTGGTTTGGAGGGTTTAGAAGGACACACCAAAAAATGCTTTCAGGCAAAATGTGTGCACTCCAGATTAAAAGCCAGAATTTCTTATTCAATGGCCAAACCAAAAAAAAACGGATGAAAAATCCAGGAGAATATTTGTTTATTATGTTGAAAGGGTAAAACAAACAAACAAAACAACCCCAATACATTTTGGTTCAACTTCTAAGCAATACCTTTTTCATGTTTTATTGTGGTTTTTTTTGTTTGGTTGGGAGTTTTTATGGTTTTCTTAAATTATTATTATTTGGACTCCTGAAGAATTTCCATAAAGGTCAAAATTAAATTACACAATTCATTCTTCCTTTTTTTCTATCAATTTAATACTCCACAAAAAATAAATAGCCTTTCATAATGTACACTGTGTAGATCGTGAACTCTGTAATCACAGTTTCTGCTCAGGACTTAGCAGCTAAACTGTGCAGAAGTTCAATTCAGTCTGTTCACCACCACTGAGAGATGGCCAGAGCTGTATCAACTGTCGCTCACCATCCAAATGAGCAGCCCCTGCCCATTAAACCCTTAAAAACCCCCACAGCTTTAATGTTCTATCTAATGCCTTACAAAACAAGATTTTTTATTTCATTTCCATTCATACTCACAGGTATAAAAGTTTGCACAAACTGTGGTTCTGCAGAAAAACTCCACATTGAGACAAACCTGTAAATATTAATCTAAACAAAACACACAAAAATCAGGGTCTACTTCAGAACAATGCTTGGACCATAGCATACACAACCTCAGCAAGAAAAAAGTATTAGTTATTTTCCAGTTTGTTGCTAAGAAACTGTTGCTTCATTCTACTTTGTCATTTGCAGAAAATGTCTGATTGTTCTTTTGCCACTTTGGTCATCTTGCTCTAATAGCTATATAATTAAAAGGGTTATAAAGGAAAAAAACACTGGAGTGTACTCACTGTGCCTTCATCATATGTAGCCTGGTCTCCCATACTCTCTCATCTCTCATATTCTCTCATGTAAC